TGGACTTGAATTGATTTCGGTTAAACTCGTTCAAATATACTGACGCCACTCCAGACCTCCATTTCGATTTTATGCGATGTCACCTCGCCTCGACCTCTCGCAACTCCCCCACTATGACTATTCGCCACTATTCGGATTTTCGCGAGAACGGTGCTATTGAGAGCGTCGGCGGCGCGGCGGCGCCGCGGCGTTGAGTCGGATTAAATTGAAGGGGCTGACGACTTCTCAACGGTACACGGAAGTGTCTAGCTCCGGGCTCGATTACGTGTTGAGTGAATCTGTCGTGTTTCCGATTCAAATCAGTACAAAACAGCGTGATTAGCATCTTCGCGTTGCATTAACTTTGAAGAAAGACCCGCGGAGGGCCGTCAGGGGCTCGGGGGAGGGGGAGGGGGAGGCTCGCAAATCGTTCGCTCGCGGGACGATCGTGCCACCGTTGCCGGGCAGAGTCCGCAGCTAAATAAGTCACTCTTAACTTGATCTACGCTGTCTTCCTAAGGAAAAACGCCGCATAAGCCTTCAGGCGTTGCCAAATTTCCTCAGAAAAAAACGCAAATTTCATGGTAAACTTGTGAAATTTTTCTTCCAATTGCTCGGTAAATTTTGTTCACAATTTATCCTAAATTTCCTGAGAATATCCAGGAAAAATATTCATATTTTCCCCCGAAAATAAATATTTTGTGGGAGGAAATTTGGCAACTCTCGAGTGCTCATACGGCGTTCTTCCTTGCCTCGGCAGTAGGGGCAAACGGATTTATTGACGTTGAGAGATTGCGTCCGGGGTATAGAGATGAGGAAGGAGCCTTGCGATAAAGCTTACCGAGTCTACAGTTAGACGAGAAAAAAACTCTAAGAAACGTGGCCCAAAGCGTACTTAAAAATAAGGGTGAAGTGCTGGGTCCACACCAATTTTCGGGGAAACAAGGAAAGCAAGGCAAACAAGTTCCAAAAAGTTGAAAAACTGTCTTTTTAGAACTTTTTGGCCTTGTTTTCTCTACAAATAGTGTGGACCCAGCGCTATCTTACCACCTTGTTGTCTACAGTTTTATACTGCCGTGCTACGAAGTAGAGCTCCATGAGCGAAAAAAATACTTTTAAATACGAGCGGAACAAGGCACTTTTTTGCGGGAGGGTCAAAAGCAAAAATAATGAGGCCCGCCTTTTAGCGAGGGGGCTCTGAAAGGCACAAGAGTAAAAAAAAAAAACTTTTGAATATGAGGGGGACGAGGAACTTTTTGTTGGAGGGTCAATAGCAAAAAGAGAGCAGTACCTCCTTGGCAAGGGGGATCTGGACAGCACAAAATCAAGGAAAAGAATATTGAAAGAGCGGAAGTAGGAATTTGCGGGAGGGTCATGAGCAGAAAGGGTGGAAGGGGTCCGGGTACCTCCTGAGCGAAGTAGATCTGGAACGCACAAAAATACCGCCCCATCGAGGAAAGTTAGAAGGAGCCTCCATATACACCCTGGTAAAAATTGGAAGTAGAATCTGTGTTCCAAAACACCATAGACCTACAGCCGGCTGTAAGATTTCCAATAGCTTCTATAGCCGGCTACACAATTTCTTAAAGCCTTTTATAGCCGATGGCGATTACGCAACAGCCAGGCGATAAAGTGTATGCTAAACGTTACTATCTACGGATGCTAGGACTTAGTGAGTTTTTGGACTACTACTCTCTTTTTGGGCCGTAGTATCTTGATTTATTTTGCGAGGAAAGCTCCGTACTTTTGATGGATGCCTGCCATTCCTAATATATTAGAGCGCCTTCAGTTTCGTATGATACTGTGCAATACCTCTGGTGTGAAATCGTTGCTTCAAGCGCCGTGGCACGCTGCGGCGCGGCAGGCGGGCAGCTACCGCGAAATGCGCTTTGGCGCCTACAAACCTAACAGGGATACTTCACGCGTTGCGCAATGCGTGAAGTATCCCTGTTAGGTTTGTAGGCGCCAGTGCGTCGCCGCTCCGCTGTGTGTTAGGCTCTAATATTTAATCTGGCGGAGTCAGCGTTATTCAACTCATGATTTTGAAATGATTGCACATCCTGTATGGATTATTCTCATTTTAATTGATGAAAAAAAATATGTATTAAAGGAAAATATAATGTGTGTTTTGTAAATATTAAGGTGGTTCCGTATCAAACTTAATGATTTCCAAAGCACACGAATTTCTACACAATTTCTTATAGCCTATTATAATCGATGGCGGAAAAGCAACAGCCAAGCGATAAAGTGTAAAGCCCGGCGATAGGAACTATAGCCCGGCTGCATAATTTTTTATCGCTTCGTATATAGCCCGGCCGTATGATTTCTCCGCATTCTGCAGCCAGCTATATGATTTTCTGTAGTCTTCTTTAGCCGGCTATAAGAATTCTTATGGTATTTTGAAACGCAGCTCTTATCGCCAATTTTTACAAGGGCATTTAAAGAGGGGCCCAAGAAAATGCTTCCTCTGAAAAAGCATAGTAAGTGAGTCGTCTTAAGAACAACTTTAAGCTACTGACAACGAAAAGCTGATGAAAATACAATTTTGAAGATGCAGGATTACGTCGCACACTTTTTCAGCGATATCTCTTGCATGTCTAAACCAAATCATAATTTTGCACTAAAGGGCCGCCGTTCATAAATAAAACGATCTCAAATATGCAGATAGAAGCTTTCACGGCAAGTCAATTTGCCTTCACTTCACAGGGTAGGCAAAAGTAACTGCTCCAAGCTGACAATGAATATTGCTGTCTTCCCCATCATGACGCGTAGCGATTCTCGCCTCTTTCATACATTACTCATGAAAGCGATGAGCAATGTAGAAAATCATATCGGAAGTTCCCCTATGGCATCACCAAATTCCGAGCAAAATGATCGCAAAATTCAAACTTCTTAATTCGTGCTGTTGTTTCTCCATTGAATATTTCAGAGGATCTCAACATTAAGAAACCAAGTTTTTCGGGGGAAAGAAAGTCTGCTCTTTAGTTGCTCGGAAGAATTCAAATATTGAAACGCAAATTATTATTTTTTTCTCTTTTTTCTTGAGAAATAAAGGGATCCCAAACAAGGGGCCGTCCCTAAATCACATAACGCACTTTTTAGGAATCCCCCCTTCCCTCTTCGTAACGCTTTTGTGACGTAGGTCTGTCTTCACATATTGCAGGCGTGTCGTCAATCTTAGGTTCAGTTAATTTTATTGTTACTATTTTTAACATACGAACTCTTGGTATAAACTTTGAATATCTAGGATCTTTTATAACGTAAAAACTAAATAGCGTAACGATCTTCTCGATCCCTGGAGCGTTACGTAATTCACGGACAGCCTCCAACGAGAAGAGCCCTTGCTTTCCAAAAGACTCGTTTCCTTCTAGTTTTCCTTTCAGTCAAAGTCGATCCATTTCAGAAACCCCGTTAACGCGCGCGCGTTTTTCAATCCGGCAATGATGGGTAGGTCGTTCGCTACGCGACGTGCGGTGCGGAGTCTAATCGCCATCGTCCTTCGTGAATCAACTGATGAGGATAGCCGGTAGAACTAAATCCGTGCCTGGAAAATTCCTGAGAAACATCCAGGTCGATTGTGCCCGTGCCATTCCGCTGATGAAAGTGAATCTAGCCACTTGCTGGCTCTTAATAGATCATCTCAACTTGTCGTTCCTCTCCATGGCGTAAGGGCGTAACTCGATTACCGCATGAGCCCCAGAAAGCATGGGCTTATATCTAGAACGGGGCTCACGTGGATACAGAGATATGCCCTCTCGGCAGAGAAGCGACGAATTTGGTTATAAAAAAACCGGAGGTTATTTCGGTGAAATATGGCATATCAAAGCTTTGAATTTAGACTCTATCGGAGCGCATTCATCGTCAAGAAAAGAAGCTATACTAATCAAGAAAGGAGTTTTCAGCAGAATGAACATTTCCCATCAAACTTTTGATAGTTCACTTTTCACCGCTTTGCATCTGATGAGTCTGTTATGTGAAAAACTTCATATTTTTTAATCCTTATAAAGAGCCGACCACCTAGTTGATAATTTCGTACTTTACCTACTAAGTTTCCCGCGAATCTCAATTGCTCTGTGTCATGTCCTGGTGTGTTTTTTGGGTGTTGATTTGTAAATTAAAATATTCTGACTAATTTATATTTTATTATTAATTAAATAATTATAAAAAAAATCAAATTTAATTTTTTACGCCGAGATGAGACAAGTTCTAAGCTATGTCATCATTACTCATCCTTTAGAATACCTCATAAAAAAAATAATCACAACATGTCAACGATGTGATTAAGGTTTGTCATGATTTATTTTTATGTAGGACACTGGTTCAGCACAGACGGCAGATGCAGAAAATTAATGGATTTGTCCCAGTCCGCAATTTCATCAACGTGGTCAGTGCTTTGGAACATGCGCCAAGACGTTACGTAACAGGATAAAACTCACTCCATTCCTCATTTGTTGAAGATTAAAGTTTTGAGGAAAAGATTTAGCTAAAAATTCTTTGGGAAGATTAAAAAAACCTAAAATAGGCGGAACTAGGAATGTTTTGCGAATAAAGCACGCATTGAGGGGCACACTGTCATGAGCGGGTCTGGGAATTTTTTTTCGCACCGCTGAAATTTTAATTCTGTGAAGCAATTTTGAGCGGTTCTTGAACGAATGATTATTAATTTAGTATTGCAAAGATGACAGGAATCTTTTCAGGAAATACGTTGTAATGTACACTGAAGAAAAGGAATCTTAGATTTGCCGCCAAGAAGTGGTTTTTCTTGAATCAAGAATTTTGCTGCTCAATAGAAACTACTTGTTTGCTAAACCAGAGCAATTTCTTTTCTTGTATCAAGAATAATTCAGCTGAAATCAAGATAAAAAAAATTCTTGGCGGCAAATTCAAGAATCATCATGCTAGAGCCAAGCAAATTTTTTTTAGTGTATAGCGGTAAATTTTACAACTTATCGAATCTTTACAAATACGTGTATATTTAAGTAGACGAACTAAGAGTATTTTGTATTTTTTGTTTGTTGCAGCAATACCAGCCGTTCTCTCAACAACTTGCTCAACAATTCTACCAGCAGTTCCAGCGCACGCTGTCACCTCTGCAACAATCACACATCCTCGACGATGTCCAACAAAACTACAAGTTTCAGCTGACACAGCCGAGCGATCGGGGCCTGATCAACAATCACCTGACGCCCCCGCAACAGTCGCAACAAGACTACTTGTTTCCTTCACAAAACTTAGTTCTATCTAGTCCGTATCAGTTACCTTCCCAAAACAGCCATTTCCAATCAAACTCTGCACAACCTCCGTCCAGTGTCATCAAGCAGTCGCAAGACCCGAACTTATTCCTACCTCCGTCATCATCCCACCAACAACAAGAAACCCAGCAGCCGCAGCAGACTTCATACATCTCAGCCGCACCCAGCTCACATGATGTTCAAATACAACAGTCCAATGTCATCCAACCCTTGGCGTATCAACCCTACGTCACGTCAGCGCAGTCGCATCAGTCGATACCCGTGCAACAGCAGTCACAACTCTCACAACAGCAGATACACCAACAGCAATTCCAACAATCACAAATACAACAACCACAACTACACCAAACACAGCTACTGCAACCGGTCCAACCTCAGCAGCCTCCGCATCTGCAAATACCTTACCAGAACATTGTGAACGGTCTATCGTTCACGGCGCAGCCTGTTTCGAACTTGTTATCGACCACCGCCGCGCCTCACCAAGATGTGCCGCTGTACACTACGGCAACCGTAAGGAACGTCCCTTACGGTGCTGCGCAGTACACAACACCCATGCCGATACCGTTGATCCCGAATTATAATCAAGATAGTCTTCCGACGCTCAAACAATACAGTATGAATAGCATCGACGTGAATCCAAATTTGATCCAACCAAGTCCTGGCATATCCTACACGACTGTGTTGCCATTCCTTCAATCGGTCTCTACTGAAGGAGCTAGAATTTCCACAAAATTCTTACCGGAAGATATCGTACCGTCGAAGTCGCCTAAATTCAACTACCGCGGGCGGGTTAAACCGAAGCCCCCTACAGAGTCACCGTCATCAAGTGATAAGAAAGAAACGTACAGTCTAGGCACAGAGCTATATCTGAAGAAAGAACGGCAGAAGCATTTCCAAGACGTTGTTAATATGCAAAACCGGTTGGTAATATCCACGACGGAGACCCCGATAAGCATAAACGCCGACGGTGACATCGAAAAACAATTGAAGCAAAACCAACACGTCAAAGAGACGCTCCTCCAACAGCTGCAGAATTACCTACCCTCGGGGGTGAGTAAAGACGAGGTGGAAATCATCCCCGGGCCGACGACCTCGACGTCGAATTTACCCGCTGGTGCGATTCTCATCACCGGCGACGGGAAGAACTTGAAGATTTCACCGACGAGGAAGTCTCACACCGAGGTCGCCGACGATTCGAAACAGATCAAAACGATCGTAATCCGGCAACCGGTCTCATCGACGACAACAACCACCCCTAAAACCGTGAGTATCAACATCGAGGAGCTCACCAAAGGGGTAGTTCCACCCGGCACGGAATACGAGGTCATCAGACACAACAACGACGGAAATTTGGAGGAAGTTGGGAAGTTGCCTTCGAATCTACCCCAGAAGAAGGTTACATTCGTCATCCTGGAGGAGCAACCGGACGGTACGGTTAAAGTGCAGGGCGTGAAAGGAGGTGAGAAAGAATCGACGAAAACTGAAGGGGATGAGGTTGACACGATTATTAAAAAATTGAAGGACGGGGAAATCAAACTGCCTCCTTCGACGAAGCTGTCGACGAAACAAGCTCCATCGCCTTCTTCGCCGACTATTTCGACAGCGTACTCGAAGACGTCTAAAGGGAGTGGCGAAAAGAAGTCGAATTTCTACTTGCCGACGACGGTCCCGTCCAGTACGAAGAATTTCGAGGAGTACTACAAACATCCGAACCAGATCTACCCAACGACGCCGTCGACGAAGACATCCCACTACGCGGACACATCGGTCGACCAGAGCAGCTTCCAGTACCAGGGCTTCCCGAACTTCTCGCACGAGGAGCTCACGACGAAGCCGACGGTGAGCAACAAGCCGGAGGGCTCGACGCCGCAGAAGAGCACCGACGACTTCGCGCCGTTCCTGCCGACGCTGCCGACGACCAAGTCGCGGTCGCCGACGCAGAAAACGACGCCGCGCTACTACGCGGCCGCCCAGACGACGGCGAGACCCCAGGCGGACGATGCCTTCGTCCAGGAGGAGAACTCCTTCTACGAGAAGCCCTACCGGGCGGTGCCAAAAGTGAGCCAGAAGTTCGGGCAGGCCGCCCGGCCTACGACCGGACGCCCGCAGCCGGTCCAGAGGATGACCACACGACCTATCTTGGACGATGATGCCTCCGCTGACCTGTCGTTCCTCAAGACCCCGCAGAACCTCAACGATATCCTGAAGAAGGAGAGCTTGTTCGCCATGGCCAAGTTCTTGCGTCAGTCCGGCCTCGATGCGATCCTGAACGAAACAGGTATGACAATTCTAAATTATTTGAACATGTTGGTAGTGGTATTTAAAATTTTTATAAAGTAAGAGCCACCTTTATTATACCATATAAAGGTGACTCTTATTTTATAAAAGTTCTACATTAATTCACAAAGTTTTCGGAGAGTCATTTATCATGAAGGAAGAAAATTTACTTTTTCTTTTCCTTAGCCGACTGATTTTAGTAGAGTTTTAAGGTTCCGATCATTGATCAGATGATATTAACTTAGTAAAAGTGATTTTTTGTTTATTTTATTTTTATTTTTTTTATAATAATGTATTAGTAAGATAAATTAGGTCATTTTCAAATCAATCCACAATGGCTCAAAAACAATATTATAATCCCAAATATTTCACGAAAAAACAATCTTACAGGATTATTTCATTTTGAGACCCGCGTAGTCGAATATTCGATGCACTTTCAAAATAATAAGTATGGTAGTAAGTATGGTCGGAAATTGTAAATATTACGATGCACATGCTGCCGAATAACACAATAATAATGAAATAATATCGACATAATTCGGAATCTGCCACATTAACACGTAAAAACTGAGATGCGGATTTGAACTCCCCTCCCCTCCCGTGTGTCACCGCGGCCCGCCATTTGGCTCCCGCAGATTTGAAAAAGTGGCGGGAACAGCTATTCCTCGATGGTTCTTAGCTTCATCTGTAGGTAGCGCTATGAGCCGGGAGAGCTTCTCAAATGGAGGTTCGTGACATTTAGTTCAACTCCAGTCCGATAGGTATCGCTAGACATATTCACGTCGTAACAATATTCGAGTGCCCAATCGCTGCATGGAAGATTTTTTCACCAATATTTTATTTTCACGGTCATTGCTCTTTGCTGCCGTGGTAAGAAAGAACGGCTAATGAGCCAATAGAGGTTGCAAACTTTTCTTCGTTAAATTGGGAGTTTACTGGAAACCTTGAGGCTTTGTTTCAAATTTTGCTCCCAATTTTCATCGCAATTTAATTTTTGAGTTTAAAAACGTTTAGAAGGATTTATAACTTTCCTGAAAATAAATATTTTAACGGAGTGTATTTGGTAAGGTTCAAATGTTCATACGCCGTTTTTCTTTAGCACGACAGTTAGCATGTTTATTTAATTTAGTCCTCCAGGCCGGTGCATGCGTATTTCTGCACAAATCGCATACGATCAATTTCGAATATTTTACTGCGTCACACATTTTAAAAGAGAACATACTTACAGACACACCCTCACCTGTATTTTTATTCATTTATATTAATCAATTTTTTCCCCTACATCTTCACCGTAGATATAATTTTGGAAGTGAAAATAATGCCATAGGTATAGATCTAATTTGCGCGCGCACATTTTAGGGAATGGAGTATCAATAGTGAAACTACCGAACCCCCAATCTCAGTTTGCGATGTACCAGCAGATGCCCGTAATATTTTGTTTTTCTGGTGAAAAAATGGACAGAAATAACCAGAATTACTCCAACAACATCAGACACTGCCTAATCTCCTCTCGTGACTCATTTTTAAAAGAGAAAACTACCTAGGTATATTCACAGAAGGATTAAATGTGTTAAGTACCTAGTTTAGTTCTCTGATAACAATACGAGTCAGGATAAAAAAAGTAGGCAACGTAAAATGTTGTGAAGCTGATTCCAGCTCCAATCTGATCATCGTTACTAAACAAAATTAAATATAATTTTAAATTTTTATTTGCTTCTCTAAGAATTTTCTTTGAAAAAATTGGACTGCATTTTGCAATTAGGACCTATAAAGTCCAGCCCGGTATAAAAACAACGTATATGCCATTAGTTTCCCTATGCACGTAAGTGTATTTTCAGATGAGCCAGAATGTATAGCTCCAAATTGCAAAATGGAGTGCAATTAATGTCTAGTGCTATTCTTTTTAAAAGTAAGAAGCGGAAATCTTGAAAAACTGCTCGAAAATCCTTGTTTCTATAGGTATACCTTAAATATGTTAAAATACACGCACGAAGTCCAAGGATTTTACGCATTAGCCTTTGTTGAAGTACCGCGGTTTCTGGCCCCTCGATCACCTGCCTCGGTAGCGCAGTAGGCAGCGCGTAAGTCTCATAATCTTAAGGTCGTGAGTTCGATCCTCACCCGGGGCAAATTTTTTGCATGGATATTTCAATATCTTTCGCTAAATATAAAATTTGACAGCAATAGAATGCTAACAATTGTTTCACTCTGGTACGTTACAGGTCCTTACACTATTTTCGTGCCGACCGACAAAGCTTTCAGAACCCTGCTGGTCCAACTTGGTGGTCCGGATAAGGCGGAGGAAAAATTCAAGGATAACCCTAGACTTTTAAGTGGAGTAAGTTTTAAATTGTATAAGTTTGTTATTCTCTCAAACTATTTTTCTTCTTTTTATTTTAATACAATATACTATAACGGTATCAAAAATTAAAAATATAAAATACTGGGAAAAAACAAACGTTATGATCGACCGTGACGAAATATTCAAAATTTTGTAAAATTTCACAACATTTAGTTTCCTGTCGCCCCTCGAAAAAATAAAATTCAAGCAAATGTAGGAATTCTTCAAAGGCGCCTCCTGTGTAGACGCTAAGAAAGCACAATTGCTCTCTCATGGAAATTTAAAAATTCCGAGTGCATTTTGAATGCAATACTTATCATCAGTCATAGACCTAATATAAATACAGCTAGCATCAAAACCATCAAGCAGAGTTGAATGTATAATTTTCTGTCAGAAGATGTCTCTACCCAACACAATACAAAAATCCTGGAATAGGAAGCTACTGCGGGGAGAATGACTTTTTGCCTTCTTCAGAAATGAAGGCGTAACAGCAGGATGCGTTACCTCTGTAACTTCTTTGGAGCACTTCTACTTCCCACAAATTCAATAGGAAACATCAAATTCAGAATTTTTGAAACGCTGCAATCGAAATACGCAATTCCGAAGTCTGACTATACATTTGAACAGTGCGTTGGACTTCACAGTAATGTTAGCAATACATTGAACATTCTAATGTCTGTAATTGGCTACCGATGGCTTAAGTCGAAAAATTAGTACCTCCCTTGCAATGTTTAAAAATCTCCGATGACGTTTTACTTTTAATGAAGAACACCAACCAACAGTATTTCCTCTTTAAATTTTCAATTAATATTTTTAAGCGAGTTAGTAAATTCACGGAAAATTACAAGAAAATTGCTGGTTGGCAAAAATATAACATGAGCGGAGACTTTTATCGTCGCAGTTATAGATATATATTTCTCGACATTAGTACAGATTTTCTTTAAAAAACTGCGGTTTAGAAAAGCGCTATGGTAATAAAGAAAACCAGGGTGTTGCGTACAGAGACAATGTATTCCAATGACCCCGCACTGATTTTTCCTCTATAGTGCATCTTTCGAAATCTAGCCCTCAAGATTCGCCTGATGATCAATGATGACGAAAAAGTTGATCAATTGGTTTAACAACCTGTCCTAGTTTGCAAAAAATCACCTGACAAAGTGCACACCACGACAATCATCAGTCGTCATAGGCGAATTATATTCGATTGATCCCTCAAAAAATTGTTCATCAGTCATCGTCAGGCGAAAAGCTTCGAGGACTTTCCATTAAATAAATGTCCACCGCTATTTATGTCCACTAAACGTTAAGTCCAGTCTTTATTAAATCCATGTGATTGAATGTCCAACCATGAATATGTCCAAAATTGTCGAAATTGTGGACATGATGTCCACATTTTTTTCTTCTCATTTAAATGACAGGAACCACCTCAAAAATAAATGCATACTACTACTACCTTCATTCTTAAAAACATTTCATTCATGAATCAAGTCACGAAAAAGAACAGACTCTAAGAGCAGATAAAAACATATGTTCATGTGTACACTGTACGGATATGATGAGATGAAAACCAAAGCGGGAGCCTAGGAAACACTCCAATGTCAAATTAAACATTTTTCAGTAACAGATGAAGTCAACATTGAAAGTCATCTTTAACTAGTTATTTCGTGCGCCTTTAATCTTGTAGGATACTGTGCAACGCCTCTGACGCGAAATAGTTGCTGAAAGCTAATAGGCAACCAGCGTGACACGCGCACAGGCGCCTACAAACCTAACGGGATACTTCACGCGTTGCGCAATGCGTGAAGTATCCCGTTAGGTTTGTAGGCGTCAGTGCGAGTTCTGCGCTGCTAACACGCCGCTCCGCTCCGTGTTAGGCTCTAATGTTTAAACTCGCGGAGTCAGCGTTTTTCAACTCATAATTTTGAAATGTTTGAAAACTCTGCATGAATTATTCTTATTTAAATTGATTGAAAAAGAAATATGTACTACTGAAAAATATAATGTGTTTTTTGTAAATTTAATACTAGTTCCGTATCAAATTTAATGATTTCCAAAGCATTCAAATTTATTTTTTTCTGTTTTGGGCTTATACTGTGCTGCAGCGTGGTGTAAGCGCAACTAAACGCTCAAAATTGGACGTATTTGACTCAAGGAGGTCGATGTACAAATAAGTTAAAAACAAAAAATTGCGTGCTTCTTAGTTCTTTTCCTCTTTTATTAATATTTGTATAGTTTCTTTCATCACAACTACGGCTCATTGAGATTCATATCGATGCCATTGCTTGGAAAAGGTTTTACAAATATTTACCACGTTTTAAAAATGTAAATGTTTTTAAAATGAAGTAATCAATTTCATCAAAAAAAAAAAGAATGTACATTTAAGACATATTTTACATCGGAAATTTCAAGGATGAAAATGAAACCAAGTATTTACCAAAGACAATTTGAAAAGATGAATCAAAAGAAGAAATTATCATTTCATTTAAAATATGAGTTACGATAACAACACCTCATTCTCTCTTAATTTTCTCGTTTCGATATTGTCAATATAATTTTACACACGGACTAAAATACGACGCTTGAATTTGATTTTAGTGGACTTTACATTTGTGGACTTAAGTTAGTGGACGTTTAAGTAATGGACTTAACAATAGTGTGGGCTTTAGAACTGTGGACGTAAAAATTGTGGACGAAAAGTCTGTGGACGTAAAAAAATGGATATAACGTCCGTGTACCAGCGAAAAGAAGCGTTGACTTCCAAACTAAACTTTTGCCTCAACCGATTACATCGCTTAGATTGTCAGTGTGGGGTCTCTAAAATACGTCTCAAGTCGTGCACGATATGACGTCTGCCGAATGGTTGCATAAGGGAAGTCTGTACTCGACCCGGGAATTGCAGCTGAGATCGGGACGGTCTGTAATATGGACTTCTTTAAATCAAAAAGACTTCTCTTCATCGTGACAAAGGTCCTCTCGTGCATGTATTTTTATAGGTATTGGGGCCTAAGTCTCAGTGAAGATAGTTCCTTTTGATTTAAATGCGTAAAGTGTTCAGTGGCCGAATCGTGGCGGTTTTTGAGTGATTGCAATTTATGGACTCCGATGTAGACACAAGGATGTTAAACGAAGGACGTGGTCTATTTTCAGCTGCTCCTGCATCACGTCATCCCGGGAGCCTTCAAGCTCAGCTCGCTCCAGGACGAGATGACTGGCGTCAGTCTGGCTGGCACGCAGCTCCGGGTCAACTCCTACATCACGCAGGACGTCGAATGGAATGATGTCAAAGTGATTATCCTTCTTCCTTTATCCCTTTCATAATCTGGCTTTAAAATGAATGGCTTATTTTGAAAGAAAAAAGAAAAAGAAAAAAAAACCGAACTCTAAAAAGAAAGGGCTTCCAGAAAACGGGGAAAGCTGAATTTAGCCGCAAATTTTCGATGCATGGAAATTATTCTTGGCATAGCACGGGGTATTCAGTTACCAAAAATAAGCTTGTACTCACACCGAAAAAAAATTGCTGATTCAAAAATTCAATTGCTAAAAACAGAGAGTGCAATGTTTCAACGCAGATTTTACAACAAAAAAATGCTACTTTAACCACATTGTAAAATAATTTAACCACGGGGGTGGTTAAAGTAGCATTTTTTTGTTGTAAAATCTGCGTTGAAACATTGCACTCACTGTTTTTAGCAATTGAATTGTTGAATCAGCAATTTTTTTTCCGTGTGGGTACGAAATGTGGTTAAAGTAGCATTATTTGTTGTAAAATCTGCGTTGAAACATTGCACTCACTGTTTTTAGCAATTGAATTGTTGAATCAGCAATTTTTTTTTCCGTGCATGGAAATTTTTGGTCCTTTAAAAGCATGCTATGAACGTCTTTTAACTTTATGGTTTGGCACTTTTTGAAACAAGTGGGAATCGTACTAATCTTTCATTATCTTATCAGTATTGAAATAAAAAATGTCAATTGATCTAAAAAGAACCGGATTTTCTAGTTTTTGCGGGTTGATGAGTTTTTGAAACAATACATTATATTTTAGTCTGGTAAATAGAATATAAAATTATATTAAATTGGGTACTGATTTTAACGATTGAATGCTGGATAAATTTTACGTCAAAACTGCCGTTTTCTACAAGCATGCTTGGAATTCTGCTTCCCCGAAAGAATTGAGATTGAACTGTGGTTTTTTTTTCGTATTTCTGCATATTTACCGTTAAGGTGATTCGATGGACGTTATACTCTGTGTTAGACCGACATGTGATTTATCGCATCGCTTTGTCCCATTTTTTCAGCCACTTGTCATTTTTTTCGAATTTTGAGATCGCAATATTCTATTGTCAGGAGACTAAAGAATGCACTTATCAATTTTGACAAACAAATTCAACTTAATGAAGGCGGAAAGGAATAACAGGAAAAATGTCGCATTTCGAAACTGTACACGAATGCGATATTTTCCCTTTAAAAAAAAACACTACTTTGCTACGTTGAATTTGATTGTCAAAATTGACAAGTGAGGTCTTTAGTCTCCTAACAACAGAAATGCAATCTCAAAAGTCGAGCAAATTGACAAGTAGCCGAAAAAGTGGGACCAGCAATCGATGCGATAAATTGCATGTCGTTTTGACACAAAATATATATGGCGTCCATCGAGTCATCTTAATTGCGGAAATAAAAAACACGAGCTAACATCAAAATCGTCAGGTGAATTGTATAAATCTTAATTTTTATATTAAAAAAAAAATAAACAAAAATACACGTGATTTTGAACGATTTGAACGAGAGGATAGTCTGCATTTTTGGCCGTGCGGGCATCTACGTTTATATAGGTCTACATTAACGAAGATATACACGGCCCTGTTACATAAGAGCATACAATTCAGGCACTTCAAGACGTCGAATGAATTATGAACTCCTTTTTTTAAACTCTTGATCCACTTGGCGCGAATTTTTCCGTAGTAAGGACCAAAATCAATTGTAGTCTATTGTTTCTCGGGTGAAAGATGTGATTAATTTGAGTTATTGCGTCTTGGCAGGTTCTCACGATCAACGGGGCCCGCGTTTTGGAGGAGAAGAAAGACATCCTGATTCCGCAAGGAGTGGCACACGCCATAGACCGAGTCATGTTCCCGCTCCCGGTGGGAGATCTGCTCCAGACTCTCCAGTCGGATCGGGAGAATCGATACAATAACTTCCTCAAAGTTATAAGTGTTTCCGGTCTCCTCAGCATGTTCACAGGTAAGTCCCTCTCTGCCAAATTTTTCTCATCCACTCGGAGCTTAGAACACTGCCTTGTTGAGGAAGAACGCCGCACAGTGGATCGAGTTAATAGGAGAGGTCGGACACAATTTTGAAAAAACGCTTACAGCTCATCGGCGGATCCAGCAATTTGGCAACACCGGATTTCCTTCATTTGAACCTAGCAAAATGTATCGATTCTTGGAGGGGCCAGGTTCTCCGACGAGAATTGATTATTTAGCATACGTTAAATGGAGGAAATTCGGTTTTGCCAAATTGCTAGATCCACCTGTGTTACAGCTCCCCTTATACAAGTCTTTGAGATTTTAAAAGTGGTTTCGGTGATTTCTTCGAGAAATTTCCCTGTATCAGCACCCCCTGAAATTCAAAATGGGACGAAATAAGCATCATAATTTGCAGATTTAGTCAAAAATTTCACGTCCGACCTCTCTATTTGACTGGACCCATTGTTTGCCGTATGAGCCATCAGATATTGCCAAATCTCCTTCGAAAAACAACTACCTAATTTTCAGGATTTGTGAGTAGTAGTGTATATATGAGGATATGCCCACACTTGACCTTTGACATTTAAGGCGACACCAGAGGGAATCGGTGTGACATCACTAGCGACTGGTTAATTGTTGCGGGTTGCCTACCTATCGTTACCAGTGTTGTAAAATTGTGCAGAAAAATGTTGATTATTACCAGTGTTGTAAAATTGTGCAGAAAAATCGGAATTAATTTACGGTGAGGGGTGGGGTATGGTGCATGATTTTCCAACCATGGTGTGACGTCACTAGCGACTGTTGCGGGTTCCCTACCTATCACCCACGTTGTCAGTCTGTGCAGAAAAATCCGAATTATTTCGCGATGAAGGATGGGTGATGAATGTTTTAGTGGATGATCTGTCAACAATGTTTTATGTTGCGAGGTGTTGTAAAATTGTACAGAATAATCTGAATTATTGTAGGATGAGGGGTGGGGTATGGTGCATGATTTTCCAACCATGGTGTGACGTCACTAGCGACTGGNAACACCGTAAATTAATTCCGATTTTTCTGCACAATTTTACAACAGTGGTAACGATAGGTAGGCAACCCGCAACAATTAACCAGTCGCTAGTGACGTCACACCATGGTTGGAAAATCATGCACCATACCCCACCCCTCATCCTACAATAATTCAGATTATTCTGTACAATTTTACAACACCTCGCAACATAAAACATTGTTGACAGATCATCCACTAAAACATTCATCACCCATCCTTCATCGCGAAATAATTCGGATTTTTCTGCACAGACTGACAACGTGGGTGATAGGTAGGGAACCCGCAACAGTCGCTAGTGACGTCACACCATGGTTGGAAAATCATGCACCATACCCCACCCCTCACCGTAAATTAATTCCGATTTTTCTGCACAATTTTACAACACTGGTAATAATCAACATTTTTCTGCACAATTTTACAACACTGGTAACGATAGGTAGGCAACCCGCAACAATTAACCAGTCGCTAGTGATGTCACACCGATTCCCTCTGGTGTCGCCTTAAATGTCAAAGGTCAAGTGTGGGCATATCCTCATATATACACTACTGTGAGTATTTCTCCTTCAAGTTTTTGGAGGATTTTGTTCGAAATTTGATCTAAAAATTGGCGGTCGGCATGTAAAACATATTAGCGCATACAAGACTGCACGAATACTTCACGCATTGAATCAAACACAGTGCGGTCACTGCAGTCAGCGTAAAACGCTTAGCGCCTTCAAGACTGTCGGAATACCTCACGCATTGCGCCAAGCTCAGTGTAGTCTGCGCGGCGCGGCGGTGGAAGTTAAAATCATTAAACTACGTTTAAGTTTGTTCTTTCATAATTTTTTCGTTCATTTCTTATTAAGGAAGGCCTTGTCTACACAGAGATAGGTTTACAGAACTTTGGAACGGTTTTTATTGATGTTTCAAAACGAATGAGAAGGGAGCGGCAAAATACAGGCGGGCCATGGGAGGCAATCAGGTAAATCCTGCCCTGCCTGTCTTACATTATTTTCTTCATGGAAAACTTCTGAACGTCATTTTTCTAAACATTTCAGAGATTTTTCCTCTTCTCATCAAAAATATTTTGTGGAAACTTCAAGCCATGATGTTGGTTCGGTATCGTTTTTAAAAAAATGAGGGGAGCGGAGATTTCGAAACACCGAAACCGAGATACACATCTTTACAGTTTGGCCGTCGATATGTTTAGATTTTTGAATATGAGTTCTGGCACGAACATTCCTTAATCATTGATCTACAGACTGAAATTTCGATTTTCCATGAACAATTGAACATTCTACTTGATGGTTAAAGTTTGAAATGAATCGTTCATATCCAGAATGCATTGGGCAAAAACTGTGAGTCCACCTTATTGAAATATTCAAAACGGCCAGAAATAATTCATCACGGTGACTTTCCTCGCCACAAACTAAAATAATATTTTGTTTCTACCTTTTTTTCCTGATCTCCTGCTTTTTTTTTCTTTTTTAAATGACGATGGCCATTTCGGTATCTGAGTATACCATCATCAGGTCTTCCGATCACTCCGTGGTTCCTCTTTGCCTCACGTTTAAAACCGATTTAAAGCCACAAACTAAAAGTAATTACGCACTATATTTACATTCACATCGTGGTACGGTATGGGTTATCACCGGAGATCAGGAGGAAAAGGTAAAAACAAAAAATTTTGGCACAGCATGAAAACTGATAAAAATGGTAACGTAAAACTTTCAAATTATAAAATAATTTTCATTATCTTAAATCTTGTCATTAAATCACTCAACTGCTAGGGAAAGTGTCGTAATGAATCCGATTCCTCTCAGCACACTTATAAAATCTGGTAACGCTGCTTGAATTGAAAGGCACCGACAAAGTCGGAACCCAACATGATTCGGACGTTAATAAACCACAGCGAAGCTGTCGGTAGCAAAGCCACGGCGCACGGCAGGAGCCTCAGCGCCGCTCGAAATATTACTCTTGTTAGTTCGGAATCAATTGCATAACAGTGCACCAGTACATGCAGTTCTGAACAACCGCGTTTCTCTATTGCAGGGACGAAAACATATACAGTGTTCGCTCCTATCGACCGGGCGTTCCCCGAACTGGAGCTGGACAAACTCACCGGGGACAGGAATTTGGCCAAGGCGTTCGTTTTGAAGCATACCCTCCCGGGAGCGCTGTACAGCGCGGGAATGAAGTACTACCAAGTCAGGAGTACCATGGACGAGGCACGGCAAGTCACCGTCTACAATGAAGCTGGTGAGTTCTGAATCGTATTTTCATGATTAGACCTAATTTTTCAATTAGGAACTACAATTTACCATTTACTTTCGAGCGATGTACGTGTCGTTAGTTTTCCTATGCAGATAAGTGATTTTAAGTCACCGTCTGCAATGCAGCTGGTGAGTTCTAAATAATATTTCCATAGTTGGACTAAATTTTGCAATTAGGAACTACAATTTACAACTCACTTTAGAACGACATATGTTTCATTTATTTTCATATGCAGATAAGTGATTTTAGAAATGAGTCAGATATTGTAGTTCCCAGTTGCAAAATGCAGTCCAAATGAGGACGATAGACGCGGGGCCAGCGGTTCCCTGGTAAAAATTGGCAGTAGAATCTGTGTTCCAAAATACCATAGATCTACAGCCGGCTGTAAGATTTCCAATATCTTCTATAGCCGGCTACACAATTTCCTATAGCCTTTTATAGCCGATGGCGATTAAGCAACAGCCAGGCGATAAAGTGTATGCTAAACGTCACTAATTACGGATGCTAGGACTTAGTGAGTTTTTGGAATACTGTTCTCTTTTTGGGCCGTAGTATCTTGATTTATTTTGCGAGGAAAGCTCCGCCCTTTTGATGGATGTCTGCCATTACTAATATATTAGAGCCCCTTCAGTTTTGTATGATACTGTGCAATACCTCTGGTGCGAAATAGTTGCTTCAAGCGCCGTGGCATGCTGCGGCGCGGCAGGCGAGCAGCCAGCGCGAAACGCGCATTGGCGCCTACAAACCTAACAGGGATACTTCACGCGTTGCGCAATGCGTGAAGTATCCCTGTTAGGTTTGTAGGCGCCAGTGCGTCGCCGCTCCGCTTTGTGTTAGGCTCTAATATTTAATCTGGCGGAGTCAGCGTTATTCAACTCATGATTTTGAAATGTTTGCACATCCTGTATGGATTATTCTCATTTTAATTGATGAAAAAAAATATGTATTAAAGGAAAATATAATGTGTGTTTTGTAAATATTAAGGTGGTTCCGTATCAAACTTAATGATTTCCAAAGCATACAAATTTCTACACAATTTCTTATAGCCTTTTATAATCGATGACCAAAAAGCAACATCCAGGCGATAAAGTGTAAAGCCCGGCGATTAGAACTATAGCCCGGCTGCATAATTTTTTATCGCTTCGTATAGCCCGGCCGTATGATTTTCTCCGCATTCTACAGCCAGCTATATGATTTTCTGTAGCCTTCTTTAGTCGGCTATAAGAATTCCTATGGTATTTTGAAACGCAGCCCTTATCGCTAATTTTTACCAGGGTTTGGCAGCAACGGAATTTTCTCCATTTAAACCTGTGCTAAATAATCGATTCTTTCCGGAGCACTGAACCCCTCCAAAAATCTATTTTGGTCCAAATGTTGCTGGTGTAAATTCTCAATATAATTTAGAGCCTCGGAGAATCCCCCTAAAATTGCCCACAAGAAAATAATAATATCGCACCGCACACGCAGTTTCACTCTTTGACTAATTACGGAAAAGTTCTACGTCTTAGCAACGTTGCAAATCTTTTTTTGTTTTGTTTATTGCACGAATAGCATCATGCGTCAATTAAACGCTGGCTGAGAAGACTTATTGATAGTATCGATCGATCTTGCTACAAATTTCGCCTCCAACTCTGGAACTGACCTGCCCAAAATGGCGAGGGACCGGAGCGAGGGGCTCTATTTCTTTATTGTTCCGTCGTACTTCGTTACTGTTTCCTGGACTTCTTCCAAAACATGTCCAGCCAGGGACATTTAATTAAGTCCACTCTGATTGCGATTCGTTCACTTCGTGTCCGCCGCGAAAACGATGCTTCCGCACGAGTCTACTGTATACTGTTCTTCAATCTCATGGCTGAAATTGTGCAAATAAAAGTAGCCGTGAAATGTCGACAAATCTGCGATATTATTGAACATTCCCAGTCAGAACAATTTTCACACTCAAATTAAATGTAAAAAAAGGGGCAGGGGAAAGAGAAGAGAGAGAGGGAGGGAGGGAAAGAGGGGGATAGAGGCGGAAAGAGGGGGAAAAGAGGGGGAAAGAGGGGGAAAG